TGACCCCAGGCCTTGGAGGATTTGGCTGCCCTGGACCCTATCTTTTTCCTGAAGAAGGAAGTGTTCACTTTTGGCAAGTGCTCTTCATCTTCCAATTCTTCAGCAGGCCTCTTTTGCCAAGGTTTTTTTGCCTGGTGGTGTTTTTAGTTCATTGGGGTATCCCTTGAGTCCAGGGACATGTCATCCCTCATTCTTTCAGGCTCTTCCTGCTCATCTTTGTCTCTGATTTTGTCAACCAGATTCTGCAGCCTTTGGTACTCTGCAGATCTAAGCTTGGCAGCAGCTATCCTCATCCCACCATCATTTTTTAGCCTTCTGCAGTGGGCCATGACCACAACAAGCCTTTCAGTCTTGATGTTAGCCCAGACCTGCCCATGGAATTTTTAAGTGTTTAAGTTTGGCTTGTCCTTGGCCAAGGTCAGCAAACGGTCAGCAAACAGGTCCTGAGTGGACCTGAGTGCACTTCGCAGGTGGCAGAGACCTTGACCAAGGACTCCAGCAAGGCAATGGTTTCCATCAAGCCACCTGGGTCAGTGGCTTGGTTCCTGGACACCATCTCATAGGTGCCAAGGTCCTGTATCAAATCTTCATGGCAGCTCAGGCATTTGTACAAGACACCTTGGTTCACCATGGGTTTGGCAAAGTGTCTTGCCCCACCTTTGGACATCCTTTGCTACCTTTTGCCAAGGGCCCACAAAGAAGTAACAACTAGTTTGAGCTGGAAAGGTCAGTGCATGTCCATGCATAAACATGGGTTCATGTTCACATGCCAAAAAAAAGCAGGTGGCCAAAGGGGAAAAAAGAGAACAAAAAAAACATCAAACATCAACAGGAAAATCAACAGGAAAATCAATATGAAAATCAATATGAAAATCAATAAGGGTCCCAAAAAAAATCAACACAAAATAGAAAACAAAAAAATATTGATTTTTAAAATCATTAAGGGACACATTGAAAATATCAATGCAAAAATCAATATTCAATAGCAACAGAAAAATGGATGACTTTATTGATTAGGATCAATATCCGATGGACAGGGGTGCGTCAGGCATGAAGCCCTGCTGTCTATGTGCTATCATCACTCTGAGGGGATTGCAAGTCGCAACTCGCGACTCAACTTCCTTTCTGCTTCCACATAAGGAGTGGGATGTGAGCAAAATGTTTTTTTCAACCCAAGCATCCGTGCAAATATGCAAGAACTGAACAGAAACGGGCTGCACACGTTTCCAGAGCTCATTTTGAGAAGGTTGAATCAGCGCTGGGTTTGGTGTATAGCCCACATGGACCCTTGTGGAGCCAAGAGTTTTGGGATTCCTTGTGTGACGGCTTGACCAATTGCATCCAATAGACTGGATGCACGTTTACATGGTGAATGGCGCATGGAACACAGAGAGCGGTTACCTTTTCGAGCTGTTGAAAGATTCAGGTTTTCAAAGCTTCTCTCAATACTTGAAGACGCACGTTTGCCCCAATGCCATATGATCCAAAGCAATCGCTGGTGTCAAAAGGTGCTGGAGAAATGGGCCGATGGGGAACTCAAATGCAACGCGTCGGAAGGATTGAGTATTTATCCAGTAATACGACACATGTTGGCTGAATTGGTGATGCCCTCCGATTTTTCTGATGCTTTGGCGAAAGCTGCGGTTGCTTCATACAATGCCTTAGCTTCAGTGCTGGATCTGCTTCAGAGATGCAAATCCAACCGAGATGTTTCCCCCTCATGCCCTTCAAGGTTCCATACAGAGGCATCAGCAGCTTCGGCTAGGTGTTTATACAGATGAACGCTACCAACCAAGATGCACCGTATGCCCTCAGGGAGCACGAGCTGTTGTGTTGTTCGGTCCACGCAACGAAACACCGCGAAATAAAAAGATTCGCAGAAAGCCAAACAAATGCCGGAGATTCCATAGCTTACGAAACAAACTTGCTCCGGAGGACTTTTCTGGCTCAATTTTACAGTTTGGACACCTTGTGCGTGGAGAAACAGATTCAGCTGGTGAACCATGTGTGGCAAGTGATGCTGTCGAAGTGCTTCCATCAATGCTTTTGCAACTGTTTCTTCCAAGGATGTCATTGGCTCATTCTGACCTCCTTAGCGCCGTCTCGTTACATTGAGACTTGGGAAGCAGCAGATGGTACAAATTTGAGCTACTTAGGTTAATATACGTTACATGCCCCCATGCCACCATCTAACTTTCAGTTGACTTGCTTTAAGGCATGTGTGGATCTCTGGATTTTGGCGAGAAAATTTGCGCATGGGGCCACGTGCGGCTTTTGTTTCACATCCATCTGCTGTCGTTTATACTTCTCTTTCGTATACACCCATGTCGCTTCGACTTTGAATGCCATTCGCTGAAAGGCTGTGGTACAACATCGAAAGTCAAGGAGAAGTTGAAGAGAACGCATTCAAGTTTTTAACGAATTTGAATAAAACTATGAAGCGCCGAGTTTTCAAAGGCCAAAAGTGGCAACCCAACAAGCGCAACAAATAGCAGGCATGTTTTAACGTTTCCGGAACCAACCAATGCTAAATTGCATTGCGCACTGGACCATAAGAGCTTGAGGCCCCTGCCAAGCTAGGAAAATATGGTGCTTATTTCTGCCATCCAGTTTGCACGTGGCAGTCGTATGTGTTTGTTGTTGCGTCGACTTTCTTGGTTTTTTCCTATGCATCGCGCTTTTTTTTAAAGCAGTAGCTTGCGAAAACGGAGGATGGAAAAAAAACTAAGATAGCGAACTTAGCTAACTTCACTAAGTCAATTTACTAAGTAAGCTAAGTTAATTTAAATAGGTAAGCTAGATTAAATTATAGAATAACTTCACCATAAGTGCACTTGATAAGTCTGCCATGTCCACCTTGCTAAGTCTGCCAAGTAACATGTAAGTGAGCTATCTACTTACAAGTACACCCGCCCATCCAAGTATGTCCCACGGTTTTTACTCCGTCCACCCTGTCGTCGCTTCCATTTTGCTCCTTCCCAACGGAGCTTTCCCCAAGCTGTTTCCCTTTTTTTCCTTCCGTGCGCCTATGTCGTCACCTCCGTCTCGCTCGTTCCCACGGACCTTCCCCCGAGCTATTTCCCACGGTTTCCCCTCCGTCCACCCTGTTGTCGCTTCCATCTCGCTCCGTCCCCACGGAGCCGTCCACCTTGTCGTCGCTTCCATCTCGCTCCTTCCCATGCAACGGAGCTCTCTCCAAGCTATTTCCCCTCCGTCCACCCTGTCGTCGCTTCCATCTCGCTCCTTCCCATGCAACGGAGCTCTCCAAGCTATTTCCCCTCCGTCCACCCTATCGTCGCTTCCATCTCGCTCCTTCCCAACGGAACTGTCCCCAAGCTATTTCCCATGCTTTCCCCTCCGTCCACCCTGCCGTCGGTTCTGTCTCGCTCCCTCCCAACGGAGCTATCGATCCCCAAGCTATTTCCCTCGGTCTCCCGTCCGTCCCAACGGAGCTCTCCCCAAGGTGTTTCCCACGGTTTCCCGTCCATCCACCCTGTCGTCGCTTCCGTATCGCTCCTTCCCAACGGAGCTCTCCCCAAGCTATTTCCTAAGGTTTCCCCTCCGCCCACCCTGTCGTCGCTCCCATCTTGCTCCTTCCCGACGGACTTCTTCCCAAGCTATTATTTCCCACGGTTTCCCTCCGTCCAATCTGTCGTCGCTTCCATCTCGCTCCCTCCCAACGGTTCTCTCTCCAAGCTATTTCCCCTCCGTCCACCCTGTCTTCGGGAGCTCCCCCATATAATTATGGCTATTTATTTCCCACGGTCTTCCGTCCGTCCACCCTGTCGTCGCTTCCGTATCGCTTCCCCCGCGGGCAAAGTAAACTAAACAAGAACCTGGGAAAAACATCGAAAATGGTTTACCACACAACGTCTTGTTTTTGTGCGTTTTTCCATTCTCCTGGGACAGGTGTACCAAGCGGCTTGACACATTTGCAATCACATAGCCTTCCGCAACACTGCCATGGTCGCTCTTTTTGGCGATGGTGATGGGAGACATGGAATTAAGAGGTTCACCACAATGAGCCGAGTACAATGTTTGCATCTATTTAGTTGTGTTTTTGGTGGTTGGTTTCTTGGGTTTGTACCGTGTTTGTTTTCCCGAATTAAGCAGAAAGCTAGTCAATAAAATGCAAAATCCAAGGAAAAACGCAAAGCAAGTGTTTCCGTGAATGGTTTCCTCGCACTAGAAGCAGTTTTGCACAAACATGAACAAAATATAACAAAACTAGAAGGACACCTCAGTTTTCGCGGTAGTAACCTGTGAATTCTCCAAATGACAGGATTTGAATTCATAGTTGGAACCAAATGAAAATCGTTTTTTTTTTTTTTCGCGGCTGGGTGCATTGCAGATGAGGTGGGTCAGACCTAGATTGCGGTGTTTTAAGCGGGTAATCTTAGAGTTTGTCATCCCCCTTCTCCCGCCAGGGCTACAACCATCAAAACTGACACTACAAAAATACAAGGAACACAAAACGGTTTCAGAAATCCTTGGAACATTGATTTTTTCCAGTGGACAGGTTCGCAGATACATTACTTTGGCTTTAAAGTTGGCAAGTTTTGAGCCTGGTCTTAACTCGGCACCGTTCAACACCTTGATTTTGCTGAAGTTGGCTAATGTGGAAGTACGTAAAATACTGATTCTAAGGGGGCGTGCGAAACTTTAGGCACGTTTCCTCCCCTGTTCAGGCATGAGAGTTTTGCCAAACACTTGGCTCAAAGAACAAGGTGTGAACACAATTTTCTGAGTCTTATTTAGGTTGGACTTGGGGCTAGGTTGACAGTACCTTCATACATGGTTGGGTTGGTGGGCTGGCGGATACGTTCCTGGACTGATCGACCCATTCATGAAAGGATCTGACCCATTGGACTGATTCCCCACCTGGTGAGGGGGGTCCTATGCTTAGCCGCAGACTTAGCCATTTAGGCTATTATATTTAGTGTCATGTGTTTGCCAACCACCTGCTTTCCTTCAATTGCAAGTGTTGCATTGAATCCCAGGTCAGCTACCAGCACTTGCAAATGGAATCGTGGCATTCAAGCTACCCCGCGGCCTGGGCTGAAACCCAAAAATTCGCTACTGCGCCAAAACTTTTGGGCAGTATGGGAAACTCGTCGCTGAGTACTGGAATTAGTGGTCACAATCATGTGTTGCCTGCTTGGTTTACCTGTTTTTTTCTTGCACGGCCCCGTTTGAATAAACAACCGTTCGGTTTCGTGGCGCGTCAAGCGCCCCACCAAGAAAATATTTATTTTCCATGTTCTTTCTCATCATGCGCATTTCTTGTTACATCGCTCGCTAGAACTTTGAGGGATAGGGATCAAAAAAACATCTGCATCAAGAAAAAACGGGATCAAAAAAAAAATCGGGATCAACCAAAAATTTTTCGGGTTAGATAGGAATGAAGAGAGGAAGGGAAGGAAGGGAAGGAAGGGAAGGGAAGGGAAAGAAAAGAAAGGAAGGAAAGGAAGGAAGGAAGAAGGAAAGAAAGAAAGGAAGGAAGGAAGGAAGGACGGACGGAAGGAAAAAGTAGGAAAAAAAGGAAAAGGAAGGAAAAGGAAGGACGAAAGGAAGGACGAAAGGAAGGACGAAAGGAAGGACGAAAGGAAGGACGAAAGGAAGGAAAAACTAAGGGCACAAATGTTGCCAGAAAAGATGCCAAAGATAATGGCCAAAAATAAAGCCAAAGAATATCAGGTAGGATATCGGATTGGTTTCAGAAACCACGTCAGAATACAGGCCAGTCAGTTAATATACTATCAGAAAGAAAGTCAGATAGAGTTTCATCTAAAATGTCCAATGGCAAATCAGAATCTGTTTCCTTTATAAATTTTCAAATGGTATGGCAGAAATTTGATGGCAATAATGTATTAGGCGGGATCACTTGAAGTAAACTAATATGTAAGGGCTGCCGCCCCTGCCGCCGACCCCGGAAAAAAACACTAACGTCGTTTTCTGAAGCCACTAGAAAACTAGAGTGGACAAGCCCCCAAAGGCGCTGCGGAGGGTTTGAAGCCAGGCTACTGCCTAACGTCGCTTTCTGAAGCCACGAGAAAACTACTGGACAAGCCCCCGACAGATGGCCAAAGTCGTCCGGAAAGCTGCCAAAAGCGCCGGCAAGGGCGCTGCGGAGCGTTTGAAGGCAGGCTATAATGCCTAACGTCGCTTTCTGAAGCCACTAGAAAACTAGTGGACAAGCCCCCAAAGGCGCTGCGGAGGGTTTGAAGCCAGGCTACTGCCTAACGTCGCTTTCTGAAGCCACTAGAAAACGGACAAGCCCCCAAAGGCGCTGCGGAGGGTTTGAAGCCAGGCTACTGCCTAACGTCGCTTTCTGAAGCCACTAGAAAACTGCTAAACAAGCCCCCGACAGATGGCCAAAGTCGTCCGGAAAGCTGCCAAAAGCGCCGGCAAGGGCGCTGCGGAGCGTTTGAAGGCAGGCTACTGCCTAACGTCGCTTTCTGAAGCCACTAGACTAGTGGACAAGCCCCCAAAGGCGCTGCGGAGGGTTTGAAGCCAGGCTACTGCCTAACGTCGCTTTCTGAAGCCACTAGAAAAATATTGGACAAGCCCCCGACAGATGGCCACAGACGTCCGGAAAGTTGCCAAGCGCCGGCAAGGGCGCTGCGGAGCGTTTGAAGGCAGGCTACTGCCTAACGTCGCTTTCCAAAAGCGCCGGCAGAGGGTTTGAAGCCAGGCTACTGCCTAACGTCGCTTTCTGAAGCCACTAGAAAACTAGTGGACAAGCCCCCAAAGGCGCTGTGACAAGCCTCCGACAGGTGGCCACAGACGTCCGAAAAGTTGCCAAAAGCGCCGGCAAGGGCGCTGCGGATCGAGCGTTTGAAGGCAGGCTACTGCCTAATGTCGCTTTCTGAAGCCACTAGAAAACTAGTGGACAAGCCCTCAAAGGCGCTGCGGAGGGTTTGAAGGCAGGCTACTGCGTAACGTCGCTTTCTGAAGCCACTGACAACTAGTGGACAAGCCCCCAAAGGCGCTGCGGAGGGTTTGAGGCCTAACGTCGCTTTCTGAAGCCACGAGAAAACTACTGGACAAGCCCCCGACAGATGGCCAAAGTCGTCCGGAAAGCTGCCAAAAGCGCCGGCAAGGGCGCTGCGGAGCGTTTGAAGGCAGGCTACTGCCTAACGTCGCTTTCTGAAGCCAATAGAAAACTAGTCTTGCTTTTGCTTAGCGGAATTTTAGTTTTTTTTGACTACTTTTTGTGTAAACATGTTTGCTTTTTTTCTTTGTGAATTTCTAATTCCCGAGAGCGTCTGAGCGCAGGGTTCTTCCAATAGTGGGGGTCTGTGAAACATCTTCTCATCTCCTCATCTTCTCATCCCTCATCTTCTCATCTTCACATCTTCTCCTCATCCCTCATCTTCTCATCCCTCATCTTCTCATCTTCACATCTTCTCCTCATCCCTCATCTTCTCATCTTCACACCTTCTCATCTTCGCATCTTCTCATCTTCACATCTTCTCATTTTCACATCTTCTCATCCTCACAACTTCTCCTCATCTTCTCATCTTCATATCTTCACATCTTCTCATCTCCTCATCTTCTCATCTCCTCATCTTCTCATCTTCACATCTTCTCACATCTTCTCACATCTTCTCACATCTTCTCACATCTTCTCACATCTTCTCACATCTTCTCACATCTTCTCACATCTTCTCACATCTTCTCACATCTTCTCACATCTTCTCACATCTTCTCACACCTCCACTCACATCTTCTCACACCTCCACTCACATCTTCTCACACCTCCACTCACATCTTCTCACATCTTCTCACATCTTCTCACATCTTCTCACATCTTCTCACATCTTCACATCTTCTTCTCATCTTCACACCTCTCATCTTCACATCTTCTCACATCTTTTCATCTCACATCTTCTCCTCTTGTCCTCTTGCCCTCTTGCCCTCTTGCCTTCTTTATCTTTCTCTCTTAAGGCCGAGGGTGGTGCCGGCGGCGAGTCACGAAACGTCAACCCTTTCGCACGAAATGAGGGTCGATCGGCAAAAACTGAGGTAAAATTGCGATTTTACTTGTCCTGGAGCAACCCTTTCGCACGAAATGAGGGTCGATCGGCAAAAACTGAGGAAAAATTGCGATTTTACTTGTCCCGGAGCAACCCTGTCGCACGAAATGAGGGTCGATCGTCAAAAACTGAGGAAAAAGTGCGATTTTACTTGTGCTAAAACAACCCTTTCGCACGAAATGAGGGTCGATCGGCAAAAACTGAGGGAAAATTGCGATTTTACTTGTCCTGGAGCAACCCTGTCGCACGAAATGAGGGTCGATCGGCAAAAACTGAGGAAAAAGTGCGATTTTACTTGTGCTAAAACAACCCTTTCGCACGAAATGAGGGTCGATCGGCAAAAACTGAGGGAAAATTGCGATTTTACTTGTCCTGGAGTCACCCTTTCGCACGAAATGAGGGTCGATCGTCAAAAACTGAGGAAAAATTGCGATTTTACTTGTGTGTAAAAGCTTCTGTGTGTAAAAGCGTCTGTGTGTAAAAGTCTCTGCGGGTAAAAGCCTCTGTGTGTAAAAGTCTCTGTGTGTGAAAGAGCCTGTGTGTAAAAAGCGTCTGTGTGTAAAAGCGTCTGTGTGTAAAAAGCGTCTGTGTGTAAAAGTGTCTGTGTGTAAAAGTCTCTGTGTGTAAAAGCGTCTGTGTGTAAAAGCGTCTGTGTGTAAAAGGGTCTGTGTGTAAAAGAGTCTGTGTGTCAAAGCGTCTGTGTGTAAAAGCGTCTGTGTGTCAAAGCGTCTGTGTGTAAAAGCGTCTGTGTGTAAAAGCGTCTGTGTGTAAAAGCGTCTGTGTGTAAAAGCTTCTGTGTGTAAAAGCCCCTGTGTGTAGAAAGCGTCTGTGTGTAAAAGCGTCTGTGTGTAAAAGCTCTGTGTGTAAAAGCTCTGTGTGTAAAAGCGTCTGTGTGTAAAAGTGTTTGTGTGTAAAAGTGTTTGTGTGTAAAAGCTTCTGTGTGTAAAAATCTCTGTGTGTAAAAGCGTCTGTGTGTGTAAAAGTCTCTGCGTGTAAAAGCGTCTGTGTGTAAAAGCGTCTGTGTGTCAAAGCGTCTGTGTGTAAAAGCGTCTGTGTGTAAAAGCGTCTGTGTGTGTAAAAGTCTCTGTGTGTAAAAGCGTCTGTGTGTAAAAGCGTCTGTGTGTAAAAGTGTTTGTGTGTAAAAGTGTTTGTGTGTAAAAGCTTCTGTGTGTAAAAGTCTCCGTGTGTAAAAGCGTCTGTGTGTGTAAAAGTCTCTGTGTGTAAAAGCGTCTGTGTGTAAAAGCGTCTGTGTGTCAAAGCGTTTGTGTGTAAAAGCGTCTGTGTGTGTGTAAAAGTCTCTGTGTGTAAAAGCGTCTGTGTAAAAGTCTCTGTGTGTAAAAGCCTTTGTGTAAAAGCCTCTGTGTGTAAAAGCGTCTGTGTGTCAAAGCGTCTGTCTGTAACAGTCTCTGCGTGTGAAAGTGTTTGTGTAAAAGCGTCTGTGTGTAAAAGCCTCTGTGTGTAAAAGTCTCTGTGTGTAAAAGCGTCTGTGTGTAAAAGTCTCTGCGGGTAAAAGCCTCTGTGTGTAAAAGCGTCTGTGTGTAAAAGTGTTTGTGTGTCAAAGCGTCTGTGTGTAAAAGCATCTGTGTGTAAAAGCGTCTGTGTGTAAAAGCGTCTGTGTGTAAAAGCGTCTGTGTGTAAAAGCTTCTGTGTGTAAAAGTGTTTGTATGTAAAAGTGTTTGTGTGTACAAGCTTCTGTGTGTAAAAGCTTCTGTGTGTAAAAGCGTCTGTGTGTAAAAGCGTCTGTGTGTAAAAGCTTCTGTGTGTAAAAGCGTCTGTGTGTAAAAGCGTCTGTGTGTAAAAGCGTCTGTGTGTAAAAGCGTCTGTGTGTAAAAGTGTCTGTGTGTAAAAGCGTCTGTGTGTAAAAGAGCCTGTGTGTACAAAGCGTGTCTCCATACTAACAACAGAAGACTCTGCTCCTCTACGCTCTCGGGCCATCCGTCGTCTAGTTTTCTTTTCTCGTTTGCTCTCAGCAAAGTTATTTTCTGCATCAAAACCAGGGACCCCGTAAACCCGCCATTGCGTTTTACTTTGCTGGGTAACTTGGAAACAGCTGTCAATCTGTGATTTCCAGTCGGGAAATGGCCATTGAACTCTTAATTTAATGTTTGGAAGCGTTAGGTTCAACCCAGCAGCTATGTCACCAATGTAATTTGTGTTTTTCTCGTGGGTCTCCTTTCTGAAACACGTTTCAAGGCAGAAAAGTTATTAGGGATAGCACATGCGCTATTTTCTTTTCTCGTGGCGTTGGGCTCTGAACTGCTGCAGTTCCTGTCCTTGTCCGCGGATGGCTTGTGGCTGTTCCGGCCAAAGCCACATTCAGCGCCATGCAGTCTTTGGCTGATCCGGCCAAGGCTGCATGCGCTGGGTCTGGCGATGGCAAGTCCAAATGGATGCGGCTGTCAAGCAAATGGACAGCTGAATTTCTGTTGGATCCTGCATGCCCAGAGGCTGGGTCATGGTTACAGGCAGCCATGGGGGATTGGCTGCAAAGCTTGAGGATGAACGTGAAAGTTTTCTCGCCCTTGTTTCCAAAACTCGCACTAAATTACTGAAAGCATTTCCGCTGCATGAAGTGCCAGACACAGTGGAAAATTGCAGAAATGCGTTCTTGTGGATGCGGCAGCACTTGCATGGCACCGGCGTTGCCAAATGTTTGCGGGACCTGGAGATAGCCTTGGACATTTTGACGGCAATCAACTTGACAGACTTAGATGCAGCCCCAGACCGTCGCATTGTCACAGGGTTGCCGCTGCGAATGCAAGGCGTTAAATGCGGTCTCACCAACAATACCAAGCAAGAGTTTCTTCATGCTGAAGAGCTCATGGCACTTTTCGTGCAAGTGAGCCAAGCAGGGGTTCACTTGGACATGGGCACCTGGTTTGATTCCCCACCTGCCAGGTGAGGGTTGTTAGATTTTATGTCAGTTGCCTCCTCCTGCCTCCTCCTGCCTCCTGCCTCGTCCTCCTCCTCCTCTCCTCCTCGTCCTCCTCGTCCTCCTTGTCATCCTTGTCGTCCTTGTCGTCCTCGTCGTCCTCGTCGTCCTCGTCGTCCTCGTCGTCCTCGTCCACTTCGACCCGCGTCCACAGTGTTCTCTGCCGGACCTCAACCACGACCATCCACGCCCAGTGTTCCCTGCCGGACCTCAACCACGACCAGCCACGCCCAGTGTTCCCTGCCGGACCTCAACCACGACCAGCCACGCCCAGTGTTCCCTGCCGGACCTCAACCGCGAGTATCCACGCCAAGTGTTCCCTGCCGGACCTCAATTTCAGGAAAAAAAAGATATGGGACAAAGAATGTGCAGAAAAAAGTTTTAGAAAGAATGTCAGAAATAATGTCGACGATATGCCCAAGAAGATATGCCAGATAGAATGCCAAATAGAAATGCATGCCAGATAGAAATGATAAGATGGCCAGAAGAATATGGTCATAATATATGCCAGAAAGATATGCCAGATTAGAAATGCAGATAATATGCCAGCAAGATTTGCCAGATAGAATGCCGAAAATATGCCAGAAGATTATGCCGAGATTATGCCCAGAAGTATGCCAGAAGATAATGCCAGAAGATATTTCCGAAAGATTGCCAAAGATATGCAGAAGAAATGTCCGAATATATGACAGAAGATATGTCAGATAGAAGCCAGAGATATGGGCCAGAGATACCAGATAATATGCCAGAGATAGCCAGAAGATATCCAGAAGATATGTCAAGAATATATGCCAGAAGATATGTCAGATAAGAATGCCAGAAGATATTCGAAAATATGGCAGAAGTAGGCCAGAATATAGAATGGCAATTGAAATGCCAGAAGATATGCCAGATAGATATGCCAGAAGATATGCCAGAAGATTTGCCAGATAGAATGCCAGAAGATATGCCAGAAGATATGCCAGATCATATGCCAGAAGATATGCCAGATAGAATGCCAAATAGAATGTCAGAAGATATGTCAGATAGAATGCCAGAAGATATGCCAGAAGATATGCCAGATAGAATGCCAGATAGAATGCCAGATAGAATGCCAGAAGATATGCCAGAAGATATTCCAGAAGATATGCCAGATAGAATGCCAGATAGAATGCCAGATAGAATGCCAGAAGATATGTCAGAATATATGCCAGAAGATATGCCAGATAGAATGCCAGAAGATATGTCAGAATATATGCCAGAAGATATGCCAGATAGAATGCCAGATAGAATGCCAGAAGATTTGCCAGATAGGATGCCAGAAGATATGCCAGATATAATGCCAGAAGATCTGCCATATAGAATGCCAGAAGATATGCCAGATAGAATGCCAGATAGAATGCCAGAAGATTTGCCAGATAGAATGCCAGAAAATATGCCAGAAGATATGCCAGATAGATATGCCAGATAGATATGCCAGATAGAATGCCAGATTGAATGCCAGAAGATATGTCAGATAGAGTGCCAGAAGATATGCCAGATAGAATGCCAGAAGATTTGCCAGATAGAATGCCGGAAGATATGCCAGAAGATATGCCAGATCATATGCCAGAAGATATGCCAGATAGAATGCCAAATAGAATGTCAGAAGATATGTCAGATAGAATGCCAGAAGATTTGCCAGTAAGAAAATGTATAAATGTCATGGTGGGGATCACACGAAGTAAAGTATTTTTTTTCGTGGCAGTGCACGAAGGCCGTGTGGATGTTAATCTTCGCACTGGGGAATTTCATGTGGACTTTGGCAAGTCGAACATCAGCTGCTCCGGCTGAGTTCGGATCGCCAATCCTGGCAGAAGCGTGACAGGCTGCTCCGGCCTGCGCGCTTGGAAGTCTTAGTTTTACTTAGGCAGCAATGACGAACGCAACAGGCTGATCCGGCCTGGGCGCTTGGGAGCCTCATTTTTGTATGGTAGCAAATGTTTGCACAGCGGCGGCCTTGCAGAAGCCAGTTGCTCGTCGAGCTCGAAATCCATGACAGCAAAATGACGAAAGACTCTTAGGAGCCTCTCCGCTGCCCCTGACAAGCTCCTAAGGAGAGGGCGATTTGACCTCTCCTTAGGAGCATCGCCGTCGTTGGCGATGCTCCTAAGGAGAGGATGCGGAGAGGACGAAACTGAAATTCCGTTAAGCGATCATGCAAAACATACCATTGTCCTGTCCGTGTCCTCTCCTTAGGAGCATCGCCGTCGTTATAGCGATGCTCCTAAGGAGAGGACGATTTGACCTCTCCTTAGGAGCTTCCAAATACTCGTTCGTCGTCGCTTTTGGCTCCAGTTGTTTTATAGTGGTATTTCTGACCCGGCCGTTCCCTGCCTCGGACACGAGAGCCATTGGCTGCTCCGGCCAAGGCTCTCTCCAAAAACTTCTTGCCCAGGCTTTCGGACGAATGGACATTGAAATGGTCTCAGAAAAAGGACCTCTATGGTAAGAAGCACCTCATCTCTGGTTGGACGAATATGGACGACAAGCCCAAGGTCACTGACCGTGCGAAGGACGCGCCAGAGCCAGTGTGCTTCTTCAGCCCTCCCATTGAGCTGATGGAAGAGCTGTTGCACACATTCTTTGGGAAGATGGATGTGGATCTGAGGGCAGCAGATGGCAAACTAGCTTTTGCTTGTTTGCAGAACAGAGTGGCCTACCTTGGTGTCACCTACAACGAGGTCCACAGCAAGCTGTTGGAGGGACTTGACCTGATGCAAACCAGCATGGCATACCCGTCGAGCCCTTTGTTCAACAACAACTATGCGCAAGCCATCGGCGTCGTGACCCACACTCCGACTCCGAAGCCGAAGCCAGGCCCAAAAGCAAAGACAGAAACCAAAAAAAGGAAAGCAAATGCGCCTGGGAAACCGAAGCCCAAGCCGAAAGCCAAGGCGACTGAGGAGCCTCCGCCTAAAAAAATAAAAACAAACCAGGATGGCAATGGCGATGACAACAATGAAGGAGACGAAGAGGAGGATGACGTTTGGGACCCGCTGGTTGCCGCCTAGCTTGTACGACTTGTGTGTGTGACAGGAACTAGCTGCTCCGGCTAGTCCTGTTCATGCACTGGCAAAGCAAGTCGAAAATTTTGAATTTTCGATAGCTCAGCAAGCAGACGGCAGGTCTGGCTGCTCCGGCCGTCCTGCCACATGCAATGTGCTGGCATTTTTGGGACGTTAGGGATCAGATTTAGCTGCTCTGCCTAAAATGAAACGCGTGCAGCCTCAATGGTTCCAATGCTTCAAGATTCAGAAACTTATTTCCTTTCCTCGTTCGCCGAAGGAACATTTCTCGTTGAAACCATGCAAAGTTATTTTGGTGTTTTTTTCCGTACATGGATTTACCGGTTGCATCCCACCTTGCAAGTTTCGTCTGAAGCTTCTTTGTTTATCAGGTCAGCAAACGAAGTCTAATGGGATTGAAGCGTCATTTCTTATAGGAGATATATGATGGTTCGGCATGCGTCTGCACAGTGGTAGGAAACAGGTTTCTATTATACATGGTTTTCTCGTTTACTTCTTTCAAAGTTATTTTTGATTCTCATTTTTAGCTGCCCCTGCCACTCCCCTGACTTTGAAGAAAAACAAGGCCCAAAAAAAATCTAAAATTCCGCTAAGCAAAAGTAAGTAGTGGACAAGCCCCCACAGGCGCTGCGGAGGGTTTGAAGCCAGGCTACTGCCTAACGTCGCTTTCTGAAGCCACTAGAACAAACTGGACAAGCTCCAGACAGATGGCCACAGATCGTCCAGAAAGTTGCCAAAAGCGCCGGCAAGGGCGCTGCGGAGCGTTTGAAGGCAGGCTACTGCCTAACGTCGCTTTCTGAAGCCATTAGAAAACTAGTGGACAAGCCCCCGACAGATGGCCAAAGTCGTCCGGAAAGCTGCCAAAAGCGCCGGCAAGGGCGCTGCGGAGCGTTTGAAGGCAGGCTACTGCCTAACGTCGCTTTCTGAAGCCACTAGAAAAGTACTGGACAAGCCCCCGACAGATGGCCACAGACGTCCGGAAAGTTGCCAAAAGCGCCGGCAAGGGCGCTGCGGAGCGTTTGAAGGCAGGCTACTGCCTAACGTCGCTTTCTGAAGCCACTAGAAAACTAGTGGACAAGCCCCCAAAGGCGCTGCGGAGGGTTTGAAGGCAGGCTACTGCCTAACGTCGCTTTCTGAAGCCATTAGAAAACCAGTGGGCAAGCCCCCAAAGGCGCTGCGGAGGGTTTGAAGCCAGGCTACTGCCTAACGTCGCTTTCTGAAGCCACTAGAAAACTACTGGACAAGCCTCCGACAGATGGCCAAAGTCGTCCGGAAAGCTGCCAAAAGCGCCGGCAAGGGCGCTGCGGAGCGTTTTTGAAAAGAAGTAGGCTACTGCCTACGTCCTTTCTGAGCCACTAGAAAACTAGGGGTGGACAAGGGGCCGGCCAAAGTCTCTGCGGGTGTAGGGTTGTGGGGGGGGTTGAAATGGCAGGCTACTTGGCCTAAGGCGTCTCTTTCTGAACCCTTAGAAAACGGCAGTGTGGGGTGCAAGTGGGGGCGGGGGGGCGCCCCAAAGAATTTCTGCGGAGGGTTTGAAGCCAGGCTACTGCCTAACGTCGCTTTCTGAAGCCACTAGAAAAGTACTGGACAAGCCCCCGACAGATGGCCACAGACGTCCGGAAAGTTGCCAAAAGCGCCGGCAAGGGCGCTGCGGAGCGTTTGAAGGCAGGCTACTGCCTAACGTCGCTGGTTGTGAGCGCTGCGCCCATCTTGCCCCTATATTTTCTTCCCTCGAAAATTTTCCTTCCCCCCCTCGTTGCGATCAAAAAAATATTCCTTATTAAAGGCAAAAACATTTTTCTGTAACCAATATTTTTTTGATCCTACTGATTTATTTATTTTTTGACCTGGATTTTTTTCTTGATCCCTCACTCGCCTTTGAGCTCTGCATTGCTGGTTTCAGGATATGATGGGTACGAGGATATGTACTTCAGTTCCAGAGAACTGGAGGCAGCCTACGAGGCCGAAGGTCTGGCTTTGGACTTTTGGACTGGCTACCGGGCTGTGATGAATTATTCATTTTGCCAAGTCAATTTGTTTTTTTGAAGATGTTTGTGATTTTCCATCATAGTTGATGTTTGCATTCACGTCCATGCTGGCTTTATACATACGAGCAAACATCCACTAACTGGTGTTTCTATTATGTATTTAACGGCCTCGTGCGCTTTGTAGGTTTTGTTCTGAATCGCAGACTCATTTGACTAGTCACGACCCTCCCTTAGCCCACACGTCCCGAGGTTTCGATTCTACATGGAAGGAACCGTGGCAACTTGGCAGACCACGCTTTTCGGGTTCAAACATGTGAAGATGCGAACATCATCTTTCGATATCTTTCGGAACAATTTGTTTTTGAATCACCTTTCGGCCACGCTTGGCAAATGAATGTGATTGATGTGTCCTGCCTCAAACAACTGATGTCCAACATGACGTAAGGAAGTACTTCGACCAGCCGAGTGCCGTGAACAGGTCTGACTTGAAGCCTTGTAGCAACACCAACTTGTACAACGATCTGTTGATGTCAGCATACCTGAGTGCCTCGGGTGACACGGCTGGAGTTGTGGTTCAACCTGATGGAAAGGTGGTGGCAAATTGCCCCGGTGATGGCTACTTCTGGCTCTCTCCTTCATGCCGCAGCGACCCTACGAAATGTGTCCTGTATCTCACTGGTGGAGGCGGCTACGGTTTGAGCGAAGTCTTGCAGAAGGCAACGAAGTGGAATATCCCCTTAGCTTTCGGAGTTGCGCTGACTTGGGGTGATTTCACGGTTTTGCCCACCAAGCACAAGAGCATGTTCTATTGGTGTCTCGACGGACGACCTGGATGGTTTTGTTATATATCATCATGTTACATCAAAGTTTGGCAAACACTAAGTCACTAAGCACGAAGGGCAAAACACATTCAACTGGTGGTTGTCAACTACAACAGGCTCCCATGATGCCTACATGTCGGCAGTACTGGGTCCCCCTTCTCATGGAACAAGGGTCCAATTGCTGGTTTCTTAAGTTCCTACCCACTCGTGGCCTCGTGGCACATTGCCGGAGCAGCTTTCGTCGCACCAGAAGAGAATAGTCCACCAAGTTCAGAGTTCAGACTGTGAAATTCAGGAGTGAACATCAGTGAACTACCTCTGCGATGGAGGGCAAAATCGGGTAAAAGGGGACAAGATTCGTAGCAAGAGGTAAAGGTAGAGGCAAGTTTCCGATCCCGTGATTCGCAGCAAGTGTTTTAACATGTTCCAACATGGTCGAACACGTTTCCAGCATGTGAGCTCAAGGTGGGTCCCAGATCCTACCTTCCTCGAGCTGGCTGCTGTGAAGACGATCTTTCCACCTCACAACAAGCAAGAGTGGGAGGATGGAATCATTTCATCTGGAGCCCTTGCAGCTTTCATTGGTAAGATTGTGAGCAACGACCTGAGCACTCTAGCCCCACGGCTTCTTGGCTTTCTGGACAACATCCAGCTCGACCTTGCCACGGTCAACGCGATGTTGCTGGAGCAGAAGACATCAGGTAGCAGCAGTGTGTTCAACAAGCGTTGTCTAGAGGTTTGCCATGGCTGGGAGGTTCTGCAAACACAGGTTTCTCTTCAAAGCCAGTGAATGCTTCATGTAGTTGTATCTCGATTCAGAGGATTGGCTCGACCTGGGTGGTTGCCAGGTGAAGACTGGGAGCCTATGATGTGCCGCTGGCTGCAGAACAATGCTGACGTTTGGTATCTCGTCGTACCAATAGACTAGCCTGGCCTAGTTCCTTGGTCATGGATTGCAGCTGCTTGTCATTTGATGCGGTTCTAGACGTTGACGTGACCAGTTTCTTGCGGCCACAGCAGGGACTGAAAAGAGAATAGGACGAGTCCTACCTAATTTGCCTTCGCAAGCCGGCTGGCCATCCGGCTCATGGGGGTGGGCCCAGCTGGTTGGTAAATGGTGGTAAAAACCCAAGGCGCAAACTCAAATGGTGCAAAACGGTTGGTGTAAGATGGTGTAAGAGCTGGTTGGCGTGAAAGGTGGCTGGAGCAAAATGATGTATGAGGAGTACGAGGTGCAAAAGATTGTGTAGGAGGAAGACGAGGAAGAGGAGATAACAAAAGTGAAGAGGAGAGAAGGGGAGAAGAAGAGCAGAGGAAGAGGACGGGGGAGCAGAGAAGAGGAGAGGAGAGAAGAGGAAGAGGAAAGCCCGGTTAAGCAACACCCACTACAAGCAAGTATTGAGTAAGGTAAACTGGACTAAGTGTGCGAAGCTAAAATAGGTTACTCTGGATGAGAAAAGACGCAGGTCCAGACGACGTGAACTACAGCAACACCTTGGGTGGACATGACATGCAAATCGTAGCTACGAGCAATTGACATGCCGCATATTTCCAATGTACCTAGTAGAATCAGCCAAGTGAATCCAAGTGATTCAAGTGTTTTCTAAAAATGAAATTGCAGAAGAGGGATGGAGAGGGATTCATAGTGGATTTTCATGGATTTTCAAGAATGGTGTTGGAAAGTCGATGCAGGGTCGAGTTGGATGCCTGATGACAGCACGTGTTTTCCAAAGTTCGGCATGTACAATGAGATCACTGAGCAGTTTGTGTCCAATCGAGATGACAAAGAGGGTCTGAGGTTGGATTCGATGGAGACTGGGTTGTTGGGATCAACTTAGCTTGACCTCACACGCCATGTCTCATTTGGGAAGTGGTTTGCCTATTTGCTCCTTTCTCCGGGATGTTTACCACCATGTTTCGCAATGTCAAGCCCAAACTGTTGCCGCTGTCATAGGAAGCATTTAGGAGCTGATTTGAGGAGCGGGGGTTCGCTTGAACATGGGCGTTTGGCTCGCTTGTGCGTGGGCTTTTGGCTCGCTTGAACGTGGACCACCGCGATGATCCAAGAATGAGATATGATATAATCATCATACTTGGGTCCCATTTGGGGACTGCCATGATCCCAGACACGGCAACCAAGATATAGTCATCTTCAGTACATGGCAAAATGATGCAAAATGGAACTTTCTGACATGCTCGCTTATGCTCAACTGGGGTGGGGTTGGGGGGGCTGATAACGTTCTGGAGCACTTTAAGACAGGGTTCACGGAACTTGTTGCCGTTGTTGACATGTTGCACATGCTCGCTTATGATCAACAGGGGGGTTGGGGGGGGCTGACAACGTTCTCGGCGAATCACATTTTTTTAACTTGAGTCACACGGGTGCCAATCAAAATGGATGTCCATGTTGCAAACATTTTTGAACACGTACCACAAATGCCAGCTTGTTGTCTCTTAGCCTCGAAAATCTCAATTTCAAATTTGTAACCCGTACAAGGGCCGCGAATCAACCGGTTGCCAACTTTCTAGATCTCTTTGGAAATCGATATAGATTTCTTAGTTCCTGAGAACGCATCCGTTAAAAGATCGCACGCCTCAAAAGCTTGGGCAGAAAGGAATCCCTCCTGAAGGTTGTTTCAGCACAAATGAAATGACCCGCTAGTGCCCAGCGGTCTTTGAAGCGCTTTCAGACCCCATGCCCCCAATGTCCCCATGTACCCGCCCCCTTCCTTGTCCCCGTGCCCCAATGTCCCCATGTCCCCGCCCCCCCCGTCTCCTAAGTGTCTAACCCTAAAGGTGTGAGAGTTGTTGATGAAATGTGGTTCATGTGCCCAAGCTCCCATGCCCCCATGCCTGTCCCCTTTGTCTTTTACCTAAAGGTGTGAGCGTTGTTGATGAAATGTGGTTCATGCCCGTTGTTGATGAAATGTGGTTCATGCCTCCATGTCCCCATGTCCCCGCTCCCCGTGTTCCCTAAGTGTCAAACCCTAAAGGTGTGAGTGGTCTTCATGTCTCCAAAGTGTCCCATGTTCAAGTGATGCAGAAACCCATGTCCAAGTGAACCTACATAAAAGCCAATGTCCAACTAATCCTGGCGCCAGAGCGGCTTCTCTTGTGGAGAAGGGCTCAGAATGCCAGAAAGTCCCAGCGGGAAGGGTTCGAAGTAGCATCGCCGGCTCCCACAGGCTGAGAAATTATGGAAGCAATCTACGCGCATAGAATCGTATACAGTTTGGGCAACACCGCCCCAGATTTATTTCATGGCATTGCTGGCCCCAATTATTCGCGCCCTTGTGCCTTGTGCTTGCAGGTGCCGGGCTTGCCCAAGCGGGACCTATTCCAAACAGCTCTTTGACAACGATGGCCCAACCTACATTTGTGAGGCCTGCCCTGCAGGCCAACGGGTAGAACTGATGGGAACCGATTGACTTATATTGGCTGGAGCATTACTTGCTTGTATTTAGCTGTATTTTTGTTTTTTTTTTGAGGGGCCTGAGATATTTTTTGGTATTTTTTTATTTGGCTCAGCTATTTTAAAAATGCGTTTGCTACCAACAATGACTGACTGGAACTACTCTTTGAAAACCTCAAGTTTGAGCTCTAAGAAATGTTTGGAGGTTTCTCTGCGTTTTCTTATCTTACCCCTCGTCTTTTCCAATTTCTTAGATAGTTTTATTTATTTTCCTTTGGTTCTTTCAACTTAGTCTTTTCTCGTTGGGAAGGCTGAAGAGATATTTGACATGCTTGCTGGGCTATTTATATTTCTCGTCGTTGTGTTTGGGCTCAATAGCTGTCAAGCATTGCTGCCTCGGCAATGACAGATGGCAGTTCAAAGTGGGCTGCCTTGGGGTTGAAATGGGGCTCACAATTCCCCATTTCAAGTTTCCAGCCCGAGCTCGGAACTTGGTTGGACACACGTGCAAAGCCATGGGGTGTTGGCTGCAAAGTGTGTAACCAAAACCGGTTGGTCAGCATCTTTGCAAACTATGAGGTCACAAAGCCGAGTCAAATGCAGAAAATCAACTTCCAGAAGCACCAGAAGACAAAGGCGCACCTTGGAGCTGTCAGAGACTATCTTCATCGAACTGGTGGCTGTTCCGGCCAAAGTGGCTGGTCCGGCCACAGTGGCATGGGCTGCTTCGGCCCAGCAAATCCAAGCAGCGAAGGTGGCTGTCTCGGCCCCCCGTCAACATTGGCTCCGTCCTGCCAAGAATTTTCTGATTTTATTGGAAAATTCGGTAAATCAACAACTTTGACGCGAAAGGAGTTGAAAATGGCTTGGTGTTTAGCTGAAGGGGTCAAAGTTTTGGACCAGCGAGCTATCCAAAGTGCTTCCTTGATTGCTTTGATGCGGGATGAAAGACATGGAAGGGTCGCAGTTAGATTTCGAACAGTCTCGTCAGACCTGTCTGTGCGCAGCGGCTTTTTAGGCCAAGGAAGATTTGAAGGCACCGGCGCAGACAACTTGTCAAAAACAACTTTGAATATCATGAAGCGTGCCTGCTCAAGATTCTATGGGGCACCTGATGGTCACCTGGCTGGGCATTTGAAAGCACCTTTGTTGAAACTTCTCAGGGAAAAGGTTGTTGTCCTGTGTGCTGATTCGGCAGCAGATGAGATGGCCAGCGCTGAGATAATGAGGTCGGCAGCTCTGTCTGTCAATGGCGCTGAAGCGCTGACACCAAACCTTCAGCATGTTTTCCGAGATCGAGCCCATGCGTCACGAAGGTTGACCAGCAGGCCCTGGCATGCTGATCCCAAACTGAAAGAAATCATGGACTATATGTGCAGAGGCGCTTCCATGGCTAAAATTATGCATCACTCAGTGGAAATCAAGAGAATTTTTTCAGAATATGCCAAGACCTCAAATGCAGCCGTGCAAAGGAGTTTGAACTCGTTCAGGGCAGCAGGGCATCGCTTTGAGTCCTTTGCCCGTCCACTGGGTAGGACACTTCTATATTTCCATGCTACCTTGAAAACAGCACTTCACTTGGTGCGAACTCGCACAGACTCCGCTGCCAAGCGGGCAAAAGCATGGCTTCTTTGGATTTCAGAAGAAAGGCTCGTGCAAGCAGCAATGCTAGCCGACGCAGCAGACTCCAGCTTGGCACTCACACGTGCGCTCGACGAGGAAAGCACTGACCCAGCGGTTGTCCACAAAGAACTTCATTGTCATATGAAAGAGGTGCACAGTCTTTTTGTTGGAAAGAAGTGTCTGCAACAGTTCGGATACACGTCAACTGTCTTGGACATGTTAAAATCACCGATCGTGTTTCAAGTTGGCAAGGATTTGAAATCAATCGGATCGAGCCATGGGGTTGCTTCTGAAAAAGTCGATCGCTGTTTCGGCGCCATGCAGGCTTGGGTTAAATTGGCTGATTCGGCCATTCAGGCAGAATTCCCTGATTTCGAAGTCATTCAGGCGTATGATATTTTCAATTTGGGTGGCTTGTCTATAACCATTCGGAAAAACATCTCCGCATTCTAGCCCATGCGTTTAAACTAGATGAGAGACAATTGGAAGAGCAGTGGAAAGACATGTACCCTAGAGCTCAGCTGGCTTTCAGGGTTCAGGTTGGGAAATTGAAGGACTCCACCGCCAAAGGTTTGGCAAGGCAGGCAAACAAGGAAGCGTGGAAAGAAACCATTGCCAGCATGGCGGCGCACCATGCGACACAGAAAGCTCATCCAACGAATGTCTTGAGGACGTGCTTGGAAAATTACTTTGTGTGCACGCCAAGTACGTCTGGGGTGGAGCAAAATTTTAGCAAGGGAGCTTACAACTTTACCAAGCAGCGGCACCATGCTTTAGCAAGTCATGAAGAACTCGTGTTAAAACTGTTCGTGGACTTGCCACAGCAGACCGTGAGTGAGCAAGAAGAAATCTGTAGAATTGCTCGCGTTGCTTGGTCCTGCCAGTATGGCGCTCCGCGTGAGAGGAAAGGAGCACGTGTGGACAAAGGCTTGAAAAGGAATAGGGACAACGTTGCCAGTGACGAGAAGTGCCCTACTGAAACTGATTTCATCAAGAGGCGCCGGAGAGCGGCTGCAGCGGCTGCTGAGGACTACCAGTTGACGGATGTTGATGTCAATGAAAACTTCTGGACAGCAAACCATGACAAGGAAAACACTTTTTTGAAGAATAAGACAGCTGCACGCAAGAGCCAGGCAATTGCTGAGGACAGTTTGCCTCTGGAATATGTTACAGAAGAAGAGAAGCAGCAGTCTATGGGAATAATGGACAGGTTTGAACTGAACCAACAGAAACGGCGGCGGCAAGCTTTGCGGCACGAGAAGGCTGCCAAAGAAAAGGACCGAGGAAGGATTTTGGCAGAGCTGCATGGTGGACAAGTTTATTTGGCTGTTCCGGCCACTGTGCATCTTCAGGCTGCATTGGCAAATGCTGGCTTGACGGTTTGTCACAACATGTTAGAAGCTGATGTTTTGATTTGTCACCGGCCTGGAGACTGCAGTGAGAAGGACAAGCTTAGCATTGTCGCTGGAGTGCTGGGTCGTCTGGAGGCATGTCCCGATTTTTTCCTTCGCGGTTCGGGTGCTGCTTTGAAATTTCATTGTGCTGCTTCGGCACGACGGGCTTTGATTGTGTCAGCTGAATGTGCTCAGAGACATTTGCCATTTTGGCAAATGCTATGGTCTGTTTTGCCGCCTGGTTGCAAGTGGACGCTTCACAAAATGGCTTCCGACGCATCGTTTCAAGACATGGCCGACAAACAAAGAGATTATCCGCAAGGAGTTGGTTACTTGGTTGTGTCGCCAGAGGAGCGCTCGGCTGTGGCAGCTTGGCTATATTATTCTCAGTTGGTTCGTGTTTTTACGTTGTTTGGTCTGATGGAACAGTGACTCTTTGTCCACTTGCATCTATAGCTGTCCCTGAGGCATTGGCGAGGGCGAAGCAAGTTTACACTGTGGAGACTTTAATGCAGCGCATTCGTAGGGCAGACCTTCTTGCATCGCTGACTGGCTTGAACAAAGCTTAAATTTGCAGGGTGGAAAAGTGAGCCTAGGCTGCATTTGTACACTTTGTGTTGGCTGCATTACCTGGTGTAGGCTCAAGATTAAAATAGTTAAAGTTCAGCAAGAGAATGGCAACCAGACTGTCAGACATCAGAAGTTCTGTCTGTGTGGCAAATTTTTCGGACGTGCAAAGTTTAATTTACTTCACAGACCTGTGCAGGCATTTCGGTTTGAGAGGCTGTCAGCACAGCGGCTTCGCTTGTTTCAGCTGTTAGAGTAGCTGCTTCGGCTGCCTCGGCTGTTTCGGCTGGTCCGGTTCGGATTCCAGGCTGTTTCGGCCAGTTGATTTGGCTGCTTCGGCCAGAATCAGCGGCGAGATGCAGCGAACGCCTCGTTTGGTGAAGGTGGGTTCGGATTTTTCCGGGTTGGACACGGGTATGCTGGCTTTGCAGCGGTTGCCACAGATCCCTGTCGAGCACACATTTTGTTCAGATAGCGACGAAGACTGTCAGAAGCTTTTGCAGAAGTTCTACAATCCGAAGACACTATACGGCGACGTATCCAACCGCAAAGAAGAAGACGAAAAGACGGTTGATCTCTACATTGCCACGCCCCCTTGCCAGGCATGGTCTGCGCAGGGCAAGAAACGTGGTCTGAAAGATCCTCGTGGTGGCCTGATGACGGTGGCAATGAAATATGTTAAACGCCGAAAACCCCGAGCATTCGTGCTCGAAAATGTCAAAGGCTTATGTGCCAAGAGGTTTAAACCATTTTAAACCAGTGCTGAAAGGAATTAAAGAAAAACTCCAAGAGCTGGGTTACAAAACCTTCTTTGGTGTGCTCAACTCCAAAAATTACAAGGTTGCTCAGGACCGCAAGCGTCTCTTCATCGTCGCAGTCAGAGAGGATTCGTACAGACGACCATTTAAATGGCCAAAGTCGCAGGGCGCAAGGTCGTTGACGTCAGTTTTGGACCCAGAAACTTCAGAAGACGTTCCTGGTCGATTGCCAGCAAACAAAAGGAGCAAAGAGTTGGCATTGACTGTGTACAAAAAGGTTTTCAATGACCACAAGGTGGATCCAAGAAAGACACCTGTAGCAATCGATGTTGGCTGCAGCAAGTCTTTCCTGACATATGGTGTGGACATTGCACGGACCCTATCCAAGTCTCGGGCCGAAAGCGGCGGCTTCTGGATTTCGTTGCGTGGAAGGAAGATGACCACAAATGAAATTATGCGGGTGTCGGGCATTCGACCAGAGTCTGAATTGATGGGTTGGCAGGAGGTGACTACAAAGTCCAAATTTCAAGGCATGCTTGGAAATTGCGTCCCGTTGCCATTGATGGGCAACGTTCTGCAAAATGCTTTGTTTTCAGCGGGACTCATTTCTGCCACGGTGCCCTTCCCGGCGTAGGGGTGCTTTTCTCAAGTTCGCCAGCGGCGCTGCGTCGTCGTCGGTGTCTGCTTGTCCAGCTCTTTCCGCTGGTTGACAGCTGCCACGGCTGCAAGGCTGCTTCGGCTTTGTTGGAACCTGAGATGGTATGACAGCAGGTGTGCAAAATTGTGCCGCTGTCCTCGGTGGGAATGTTGTAAATTGAGGGCTTCAATCAAGATTTTAGTGTAAAATGAGGACGTTTTCCCGGTAAAACAGGTTAGAATAATATAATAACGTAATTAATATACTGTAAATATACTTGCTTTTACCCGACTTCGTCATAGCTTACAAGGTACAAGTTGCGAACATCTCGGCTCAAATCAAGAAAGGGTCACGGTGGCTCTTCCCGGCCGACCAGTGTGTTCTCTGCTGCACTGTTTCTATACGTCTTGCTGCTTCGGCAAGCACGGCTGTTTCGGCCGCTTGAAATGCTGCACTGTTTCTACGTCTTGCTGCTTCGGCAAGCACGGCTGCTTCGGCCGCTTGAAAGGACGCGGCAATGCATGCGACGGTTTCTGGCTTTTAATGTGAGCCGAGGAGAGAAGCCGACAGTCCCAGTGTGATCCAGGCATTTTTGCGCCAGGACCCGGATGGTTATCAAGGCGTCGTCGTCGGAGTGCTGATTGATATCTTCAATCTTGGAAATGTCATCTCCTGGTTCATTCTGAGTCAGTTTAAACCTATCCAGCCCGTTAAGTTCTTATTATTCTGACCAAGAATTTCATTCTGTGCAAGCTGCCGCATTGTTGGGACTGCCAGTCAGTGTCTCTTTTTACAGAAAGCATGTGTGAGACAGCCATCGCCGCCCAGGCAAATCCACATATGATGCGGTTGGATTGGATTAATCGCAGATATCTGATGTCTATCTGTCTTTCAAACATGGAACATGCCTTTCTTAATTTAATCTCTGGCTACGGCTGTTTCGGCCTCAACTGAAGCTGCTTCAGCCTTGCAGCTTCAGGCTGCTTCGGCCTGTCAAAGCTGCTTGGGCTCGTCTTGCAAAAGGTACTTGAAGCTGCTTCGGCTTCTAAGCTAGTCTAGGATGTTTGTATATACAGCAGTCGGTCTCGGACTGAATTGGTGCAAAAGGCAAAGGCAACTGGGCTGGGGCGGGTGTCACGGTAAGCAGAATCAGATAAATACCACCAAATGACGCTATAATATTAAAAGGGAAATTTAGATTTTTTGTCCTCTCCTTAGGAGCATCCCCAGATTTTCAACGGACCTCGAATCAACGGGTGGGAATGTCCTCTCCTTACGAGCTTCGGGGTCGTCCTTGAACCTCCTAAGGAGAGGACGACAAGGGGACGAAACTGAAATACTGTTAAGTATGAGTTTTTTACGGACCTTTGTCCCATTGTTGTCCTCTCCTTAGGAGCTTCGGGGTCGTCCTTGAACCTCCTAAGGAGAGGACGGATTGTCCTCTCCTTAGGGGCCTCTCTCACATCCACTTGCCCGTTTTAAGAGTTTCGGCTCCAGCACCAGTGGCTTCTGTGTGGCCACGCCATCTGCGCCCCCTGGCTGCATCGGCCAACAAAGACTAGCCGCTTCGGCTAATTTTGGTGGCTGCTTCGGCCACAATGCCTGTGTATCGACAAAAAATGGTGGACTTGCCGGAAAAGGCAAGGATTTTGGCCATAGACTGTGGTGGTGTTTTGTCGGCTAAGACTGACGATGTAAAATATGACGACGACAAAATTTACAAAGCAGCAATGGAAGGGGCCTACTGCTTGGTCCAGATGTACAAGTTCAAATCTGGCAGATGGCCCCACGTGGTGAGCAGGGTTAACTTCCCAAGCAACAAACACTGGGTGCTGCGCTTCTGCAAGCATACCTCTGGCATTCCAGATGAATGCATCCACTTGGTCAGAGAAAAAGCAGAAAAAGGACCTGTGTGCGCACAACTGGGTGCAACAGCTGTGGTGGACGATGGTTACGACGCCCTCTACGCCATGGGCACTGGCGCATGGGAGACTTTGGCGAGTGCTGTCCTTTTCCAGGAGCAGGGAAAACCACTTTCAAAACAAGGTCTGTGGGATTCATGGCTTTTGGAAAACAAGTTAGAATTCGCAGGTAACATGCTCGAGTTGATGGTTGCCTTGGGGATTGCCCGGACAATGACACAAGCGGAGGAGTACCAGTCGGTGTTTAGATGGGGGCCACCCACCCATCCACACTCCGAAGAACGGCTGGAGACGGCGTTGGCAGTGGTCCGTGGCATACCTCAGGCTGTGCAAGCACGGGAGGCTGAAGTTGCATCTGCCGCAGACGCCGACGCGCATGGCGTCGACTACAGCGCGGATGATCAGGCACCCGGTGCTTCAGTTGCCAAGGCGGCTGCGGCTGCACCTCCGCCGAAGCATGCGGCTGCTCCGGCCAAAGCTCCTCTGCCAGTGGCTGCTGCGGCCGCTTCACCACCTCCGAAGCATGCGGCTGCTCCGGCCAACGCTTCTCCGCCAGCTGCTGCGGCCGCTTCTGAAGCTGCTCCACCTCCAAAGCATGCGGCTGCTCCGGCCAACGCTCCTCCGCCAGTGGCTGCTGCGGCCGATTCTGCTCCACCTCCGAAGCATGCGGCTGCTCCGGCGGCCAACGCTTCTCCGCCAGTGGCTGCTGCGGCCGCTTCCCCCCCGCCTGCTGCTGCCCCTGCTCCACACGTGGCTGCTCCGGCCACTGCAGCTTTGACGCTGACCAAACAGGTGAAACAAGAAGAGGAGGCGATCGACGGCGGGGAAAAGACGTCTTCTGACGACGACTTGTCGTCGTCGTCGTCGTCATCGGAAGAAGACGACGACGGCGGACCGACTGCTCCTGCCAGACATGATGAAAAAAGGGTCAGGGAATCGTCTGGTTCAGCGGCACCGCCCCGAAATAAGCCACGACTTACACTGGGGCCATCTGTAAAGCAGGAAGAACAGGACCGACAACAGGAAGCAAAGCAGGCTACGCCGCGGAAGCACGACGATGACGACGAAAACGATGACGACCAGGAGACGCGCCGAAGCCGGCGTCGTCGTCGTCGTCACCGCGGACAAGACGACGAGGACGAGCCCAGCACAAGGGGTAGCCGAAAGAGTGTGGATCTCCGGCCCTACAAGTGCAATGCAGACCTGCGACCCAATGAAGACAGGGCTGTGAGCCATGCTGATCTCCAAAAATTCATGAACGACGTAATGACCCACATCGATCGCCTCGGCGTTGGCTCAGGGGCTGCTTCGGCCCGGTCGTCGTCGTCAGCGGCTGCTCCGGCCGCATCAAACAGGCATCGACCGACAAGCGGGTGGAGCCAAAAAAAGCTGGCACGGGCTCAGGCACATGAGCAAGCACAGCGGGAAGGTCGCACCAAGCCCCCTCCGACAGTCACAATCGCGATGTGCAAGCAATGTGGGCGCAATCAGCCAGGAAGCCGGTGCGTGCATATCCTGTGCAGGCAATGCTGCCAGGATCCGTCTTGCGCGCAACATGGCTGCTGATTCGGGCAGCTGTACAGGCGCATGTGGCTGTTTCGGCCATGTCAGCTGCTTCGGCTGAGTTAGGAAGACTCAGCCGTGATTTTTGCATTGCAAGGCGTAAAAAGCAGGCCGGCCACTGGAAGGTTTTTGGGGAATCAGTTTTGACAATTAATTTGCAAGTGTCAAGGGATGATTTACCAGACCCCTTAAAATTTCAAACTTAAACATGTTTGACCTGTTTGACATGTTGAAAACACGTGCATGGTCCACATTTTCGGCTCTCAGTGTGGTCGACGGTAGATTTTGACAAGTCCTGGTTCAACAGATGGCGCCAAAGAAAAAACAAAAAACGGCACATGTGGCTGTTGCGGCCGTCGATGCCTTACCCGAAGCCATCTGCCAAGAATATTTGGTCAAAGTTCATGAAGCAATCAGCTGCATCCAAGCACATGACATGTTCAGCAACATTGCTGCCAGCCACCGCTGTCACCAAAGGAAGGAGGACGCGAAGCACTTTGGGACGGTAATATGGCTGCTTCGGCCTTGAAAACTGCACAAAGTTACCGGTGCGCTGCCAACTTCTTTTCTCAGGACTTCTTGTGGCTTGCGACCCATAAGATCCCTATCAATTTGGGCCAAGTGAAACAGATTCAAAACTATTGGTTTCCCAAGGATGACGAGCCTCCCAAGCTGTGTCCCTTTGTTGTCACAGTTGCAGTGGATTCCCATAAGTGCTCTGGCGATCCTCCGCAATCGGGGTGGCCACGGCTGAGTCCGGCCGAGCCCGTGCATGCGCTGCTGTTTGCGGCAGCTGAAGCAATCAAGTCGAAACAGGGCGCCAATGTGCTGCAAGCCTTTAAATCTTGCTTCTTGACATGCACTTTCGTCTATGAAGTTGTGCCTGTGGGTGAAGCTCGATACTTTAGGAGTCTAAATATTCGAGAGGAGCAGGTTGAAAAAGGTTTGGCGGTGCAAATGAGCTTGAGACAGCGCATCTACGACATTGCTGGGTTTGCTGAAGCCAAAAAAACCACGGATGGTATTGTCGGTAGTAAAAAACTCGCAGCCCTCTACTGCGCCCAAGTGAAGCTAGCAAGCAATCAGGAAAAAATGTCAGAGTCATTTGTGGACAGCGCGCTGACTATATACAACCGTGTATTGAGCCAAGATGCATGCTGCAAAGTGCTCGAGCAATGCGATGCACAGCTGTTGGACAAGAGCCCATGGAAATCGATATATGCACTGCAAGCTCTGGTGGACCGAGCAAACACACCTGAAATGATTTCGTGGTGCCTCCAGGGGTTGGTGGACGGCTGGCGCATGGGTAACTTAGACCCAGGGGTTTTTGTGATCGCCAAGCTAAAGGATAGCAGGGCAAGCTATGTGGAAGTTTTGAAATTGAAAAGAAAAGTTCGTGACTACCTCCTCGGTGACTGGCTCAACTCGCTGCCCATCAATGACGAATGGAAGAAGAAACTGTCAAACAGCTTCACCTCCTTCGATGCATGTCGCAATTTTTTTGCGCCATTTCCAGGAGATCCGGTGGACACTGCATGGATGCTGGCTGCTCCGGTCGGCGTGCTTCGGATCGCAGAATTCTTTGACCAGATCATGTATGGAAACGAGTTCGACGGCCGCTGGAATCAAAATGAAACATGACGTAGCTGATTTGTTGGAATATCCGACGGTGAAGTCAGTCTTGCAAGAATTGGAAGCAGCTGTGCGATCAGAACTGAAACCGGAAAAGTCTGCAGAGCCTGTCACTGTGGAGGAGACGGCGCCAGCTGCTCCGGCTACTGCACCGGCTGCTGCGGCCTCTGAAGCTGCTTCGGCTTCTGACGCTGCTCCGGCTGAATCTGCTCCAGCCAAGCCTTTCGACCGCCTTTCAACAGAGGATCAAACATTGTGGCGGCAACAGATGCGCAAAGTTTTGCAGCAGCATGTCCGATTTGTTTGTGACCACAAATCCAGCGCTGAACTTGAAGAAGCTCTCAAAGACACACCTTTCATTTCCCTCCGGGGAGATCAAACAGGTTTGTGCCTTTACCATTTCGATCTGAAGAAGTACGGCGAGCCGACAACTCGTCCAGACGTTCGTGTGCCGACATTCCGTGAAGCATTGTACGGCCGCCTGGTCAAATCGATCCTGGCAGCACGCAGCGCCGCGCAAGGATTGCAAAACTCAAATCTTCAGGCTGGAGAAGTTGCATTGATTTTAGATGGTGGCAAACGCGGCCTGAAGAACAAGTTGCTGCATCCATGGCGAGAAGGAACTGCTTCCAAGAATGCTGACGATGACGCTGAAGAAGACGGTGCAGAAGCAGACATGGAAGAAGACGATGGCAAACCAACCTTTTTCGCCGACTTGTTGCAGATCGCCTACTCTGAAAGTTCTTTGGCCGCCCGCAAGAAGAGGTTGCGAGGAAATTTCAACTTGAAGCAGATCGAATGGTGCCATGTCCTCAGCACAAAGAAACTTTCACTGCCAGTCAAAGAAAGACTTCATTACGCAGGGTCGACAAATGGAGACTTGATTTGCAACGTGCACCTACCAGGGTGGAACGAAGAATGGCAATTGCCGTGGAAAATGAAAAAGGATCTTTACGGCAAGAAGCACCTCATTGCAGTGGGTTCAAAAACCGAAGGCGCCGATGACCAAACTCCGTATGCTGACCGAAGAAACAATGGAAAGGAACCAGTCTGTTTTCACAGTCCGCCAGAAGAATTTTACGCAGAGCTGATTCATGACTTTTACGTCAAGCTCATTTTGGATCTTACACCATCAGACGGCAAAATGGCTGTTTCGGCCATAAAAAGTCGTGTGGGGTATGTCGGTGTGTGCTACAATCCTGAACACCAAAGTCTGCTGGAAGAACGCCTGCTGGAAGTCCTGGAGATGGAAATGAGAAACAGCGGAAGCTCTCTTTTCTCAGCTGCCTACTGCGAAGCTGTCGGTTGCAGGACTGCTTCGGCCTTGCCTGGTGAAGAAGAGTTGAAAAAGAAAAATCCGAAGCCCGTGCCAAAAAAGAAGGCCAAAGCCAAGCCGAAAGCTAAGTCGACAAGAAAGCGGGGTAGCCGAGCCGCAGAGAAAGACAAAGAGCCGGCAGACGACGACGATGACAAAAACAATGACGACGACGAGAATCAAGGCGGTGAGGAAGAGGACGAAGAAGAAGATGTGTGGGACCCCTTCAACGACGAGTAGCTGGTTCGGCTAGCTAGGTGCTGCTTCGGCACCCATAGTCTGTTTTTGCTGCTGAGTTGGGCGTGACAGTTTTGACCATGCACTGGAAGAGTGCAAAAGTCGCGCCGCTGCAAGTGTATAGACCCCCTGCAAATTAACACAATTAAATCTTCATTTTGGTACTTGAGTTCTACTTGACAAGAAACTATGAAAAACTATATAAATGACAATTGAGGCAACATGTCCCCCCTGCAGCCCTTTCAGCTCAAGCGCATGACGAATCAGCCTCCTGTGCAGTTTCTGGTGCCCAAGGATCCAATTCGCAAACAGAGATGTGAAGTCAAGCAGGCTGAAAGGGATTTGCGCTTGATCCAAACAAGAATGGCTAGAACGTTGCCGATCGAAAAATTATTCCAGAAGTACTGCACTTTGAAAAGCAGCAAATGGGAATCTGCTGAGCCTCTCATGATGTATGTCAAGAAGGCACTCATTCGTCGAATGGGCGAAAGATGGCTCATCCAAAGAGAAGACAAGCTGAAGTCGGCTTGATATGGCTGTTTCGGCCAAGGTCTGTTTCGGATCTGTCGGCTGGTGGCTGGTTCGGCCACAAGAGATTTGTTCGGATCTTAATTCAGCTTAATTAAATGTAGAAGATATTTGCAAAACTCGTGTGCCAGGGAGAAAAAAAGCGTTGCCAGGGCTCTTGAGATATTTTATGGAAGTTGGTGTTGCAGACACTGTCAGAATTTGTCGTGACTAAGTTGCAAGCTTGGCTTTATCTTGGCCTTTAACATTCCTCTCAATGTTGCTCACCAAGAAGCTACTTTTCTTGAATAGGAGTTCTGTGAGTTTTTTAAAGATATCAGAAAGAAAAAGATATTTTTTTCCTCGTTTATCCCTCCTTTTTTTTTGTGTTTTCTCGTTGAAGGCCCAAAAAAAAATACAAAAATACAGCTAAATACAAGTAAGATTAGGAAGCCCGTGGTTTTCAAATTCTTTGGGACAAAGGCTTTGTGCCTGACAAAATCTGCTTTGAATTCCAAGGCGGCGTTTCCAATGTTGTTTGGTTTTCAAACCAAACCCTTGCCATCGCTTGCTCATTCTGCAGGCACAAGCCAAAATTCTGGGGCATCGTTGGCGTGCGAGCCATGTCTGAAGGGCGAGTACCAAGATCAAACTGGTCAACAGAGCTGCAAGCGATGCGATGTGGGCGACTACCAGGACGAAGAAGGGGGGCCCGTTTGCAAAAAGTACCTTGGAGGCATCTTACTACGTGCCTTTTGCGGGAGTTCAAATTTAAAGTTGCCATTTCTTGTCATGGCATGAAATTGCATGGTGCGCAAGCTGTCGAACCATGATCTTTGCCCTTTTGTCGTCCCGGTCGCTCTGAGGTGCCCAGACAACAGTCGCACACTTCAGAGGGGCTCTTTGTTGTTCACAGACTGCGGTTGCAAAGTTGGTTACATCAACGTTGCAAATGTCACCGCAGGCCTGGTGGCAAGACGCCCGATGCCGCTGGAAGTGTCCCAGCAACCCTTTACAGGTCGCCGGAGTCACTATTCCAAGCGAGGATGGTAATGATCTCCATTAATTAAGAATTCTACACCCTGATGGCTCCCATTTATTTGAATTCTTTAAATGTGGTGACCGCGTACTGGAGCTACTTGCCGCTACGGGATTGATATTCAGGTTGACGATCCATGGTGTTGCGTTGTTTTCTTAGCAAGCTGTAGCATCAATTGGAATAGTGAGAGCATTACTTCAAGTATAATAAGAAGAGTTGCCTATATTAGCACTTTGGAGCCTGGGTACTGGTTCCGCCGCGGATGCCACTCCAAGATGTCTATTGCAGTGTGCGCTTTGGAGCCTGGGTGCTGGTGCTGCGGTGCAATTTGCGCTTTGGTGCAGCTGCAGGGTGCAGCGCACGCTTTGGAGCCTTGGGGGGGGCACAGAGTGCTGCTGCAGCAGACCAATGCACGATGTCTGTCGTAGCGCGCTCTTCGGAACCTGAGTGCTGGCGCCACTGCAGGGTGCAATTTGACTGCAGGGTACTGCTGCAGGGCGCCTCTGCAGGAGGCCGTTTGCGGTAGAGTGCGTGCTTTGGAACCTTAGAGTGCTGGTGCCGCTGCAGGGTGCAATGTGACTGCCGGGTGCCTGCCCGTTGTGGCAGTGTACGCTTTGGAGCCGCTGGTGCTGCTCCAGGTGCCGCTGCAGGGTGCCGCTGGAAGATGTCTATGGCAGGCATACCGCGTAACCCCCGACGATGATGGAGATTGCGATGATTGCGTCTACGCCGAATAGAGCGTTTGGCCGCCCAAAAAAATGTTTTGCTCTCAGGGGCCTATGCCGGTGTAATTTTCAAAGATTTAAGACGTGCCGTCCCTTATGCCTCGAGAGGGGATGCTGACGGCCATTCATGGGCTGATGGTGGCGCGGGCTGCGAACTTTTGAACAGGTTTGGAACCTTGTCTACGCAAACAAATTTATCCGGGATAAATCGGGATAAAGTGAATTATTATTTCCAATCTCTGAAACCCGCGCTGCTCTCCATTTGACCAAGCGCACGTTCACCGCAGGCAATTTGAGCTGCGCGAAATGCCAAGAGGGCTTGACCTGCCCTGTGATGAGCAGCTTGAAGAGTCACTTGCGCTTGCATTTCAGACCATGTTTGCATGTGTTTGCAAATTTGAACGCAAAAATAGGCATGGATTTGTTCGCATCTACAGGTGCCATTGCGATCACGCGGATTTTTTTTGCTCAGGTTTGCAGGATGGAAACCATCCGTTGGGCCTTGACTACTTGCCTGCAGTTGCTGAAGGCTACTTTGTTACAGAAGATCAACCCTTGGAGGTCGGGTATTGGTCGTTGATGGTCGTTGGTCGAAGTAAAATTAGTAAAGCGAATCCTCGCAAAACCTTGATACCTCGCTGATTGGTATTTTGTCCTTAGGCCCCTGCATTTTATTTTATTTTTTTAGGGGTCTCACCCCCCCGGCACCAGACGGGGGTGTTATACAGTGCGAGGATGTGCGAGGTATGTAGGCAAGGTTGCTCAGTCTTGAATGAAAAATGAGAGGTAGTAATCTTAGCATCGGATTAACAAAGGGAGGCACACCCTTTCCCCCGCAGTAATAAAAAATGTTCTCGCAAGTAGAATTGTTTTCAGGATTTCAGTTTCAAACAGGTTCCCGTCATTTCATGTCAGTTCCTCCAAATGGATGTCGTCGAGATTGTTTTTCCAGTGATTTTCCAGTATGTTTTTTCTTTTTCTTTTGGGTTCCAAAAAGTGGCCTCAATTTGAAACCAATCTGAAACGAGGCTGAAACCAGTTTGAAACCAGATTGAAACCCTAGAAAGCAGCATATGGAGAGCAATCCATCCAAAGCGCCGTTTGGGACCTTTGAGTTCCCAGATCAAATGGTTGACAAGGCCTCCAAACGGGTGTTTGAAACCGGTTTGAAACAGATTGAGCAATTTTACAATGTTGCTTCGATGGATGGATGCTTTCCAAGTGGTGTTTTTTAGGCCTTCAAACTGGGTTCAAATTTATTTCAAATTAAGGTTCTAGTGGGAAAAAATGTAAATCGAGGTTTTACCGAGAAAATCATTTGTAAATGGAGGTTTTAGTGGAAACATCATTGTAAATTGAGGTTTTAGTTTGATGTTTTTTGTTAATGGAGATTTTGGTGGGAAAGGGGAATGCCAGATACTAAAAGTAAAGGGGCGCGAATGAAAACCAATACCTAAAAAACGGAAAAAAACTATATTAGTATATTATTGTGGGTGTTTTTTCATGGCCAACAACATGACCGAATACTAAAAGTAAAATATGGGTCGGCCGGATTTTTTTATTATTGAGGGATTGAGGGGGGTTTATTAATCGAATGCTAAGATTAGGATGGGACAGAGAGTGGGACCGGTTGTCGGGACAACAATCAGAAGCAGATTGATGATGGGTTATAATTAGGTTTCCAGACAACCCATATAATATCTCCAACGCCTTCGTCAATGAACCACTTTGTATAAACCCGAGTCCAAGCGGTGAGGCACGTTTTCCCTTGTGCTGGGTGTCAGCTGTGTCATCCCCGCCCAAGGGCTGAACAACGGGTGCACCAGGTCTATCGCTGCGGACTCATCACTTCCTGTCCTGGCGGATTGCCTGCGCAATGCGGCGGTGGCTTGATCGGGGTGCCGTGTGGTGAATGCCCAGAAGGTGCGGAGCTGATCATGGGCCGGGCCAGCAGACCACAGACATCCTGGATCTGATCTTTGAATAGCTTTGGTATCATGATATACACATATATACACAACACGTGGATGGAATGTGGAGGTAGCAGCTCGAGTGCTCTCAGAGTGCCCAATGCACCCAATGCACCTCAATGATGGCTGCAAGTATCTAGTTTGCTAGGCTTGTTTGATTTCACACTGTGGCCATCTTAGGGCATTCTTAGGTTGACGGTCGACGTCAAAACCCGACAACCTGCTTTCATTGTTTGATTCGCAATGGATTAGTTGTGAATGAATCCAAAATAATGACAATGGTAAAGATAATCATATAACGATAATGCTTAAGATAATGATTCTTTTGGGTTGGATTTGTTTGCACTTTCAAAACTGGTGAAAGGTTACAACTTGAGTGAGGGAAAGTGCGAACAATGCGAAGACTCCATGGTAGTGCTTTGGGCCTGGGTCTCAGTGTCTTTGGGCCACCCAAAATTTGCCAGCATTTTGAAAATCCAGTGGATTGAGCAGCTTTTTTGCACGGCCTGAGGTACTGGGTATGCTCTTCGTCTTCGTCTTGTTGACAGCTTCGTACTACCTAATGACCTCAAAAGTAACAGCAAAAGCATCTGTGCTGTTCACCACCACCTGCGCCTTTGGCATGCTCATTTCCTTGTTGCAGAGCATCGGCATTATTGGCACGATGACGGTCGAGTTTCCGGTGAACATTTCCTCCTTCTTCGGTTGGTTCTCCATCCTGATGCTGGATCTGGACAACTTCGGCTTCGCATGCCTTGCGGGAAGTGCAACGGCGCTCCGTTACTTAGCGAGTGTTTTGTTCTTTCCCGCTGGAATTGCTTGGTACATGCTGAACTTTGGAGCCCCTTGGCATTGCAAAGTGGTGCCGCATTGACAGTTTCAAGACTCCTAGCAGGGTTTACTCTGGGATGTCCATAGATTTTCTCGGTAGTAGTCTGTCATTTTCCAAATAAGCCAATCTCACCCAGTCGAGGGCCACGCAATTCCAGCAATTCCCAATGAGCACCCCTGGTTCTGCATATGCAAAGCAAGCGAGTCAAGGTGAGCCAGCTCGTGCCCAGACATCGATGGGACGCAACAAAGGTTGCAAGCTGCATGGGACAGTTCATGCAGGCGCGCTTTGCTCGGATGCCTCGTGGGGCATTTTTGGGCCTAGCCACAAACATCCACAAACAATTTTGATTACCCGAAATCGTGCAGATAAGGATGGATGAGCAGAGGAGAGCTCAGGAAAACACTGATAATGGTAACCGATGAGAGATGACTGATTGTTATGTGACATTGATGATGTCAATACAGTAAATCCTGGCAACGGCGGCGTTGACGATGGCCATCATTTGGAAGAAACACGAAACACGATGACAATGGTGCATGTAATCATGATTCTGGCGAAGATTCTGACTATCAAGTTCATTTTTACCTGATAATGAAAACTATGGCATCGACGAGAATTAGGCAGAAGAGGATGACAGGAATGAGGGTGAAGAGGATGAGAAAGATACCTATCAGGATGATGAGTACCGGGACGAGACGGATACAAATCAGGACCGTGATGATGCCGAAAATAATGATGGTGACAATGCTGGTGATTTCGCCACCATCACCTTGCCGTCAAATCTGTGGTGCAAGAATATGTTAGCACCAACTGCAAACATGACGATGCTGACAATCCCGATGGGAAGAAGGATGCGAACAAATATAGCAGCAACGGTGACAAACATGATGATATATAAATATAATGATATATATATATAATTATATATAAATATATGTAAGACATGCAAATACGGAAATATGTATTATATATATATACGAATGGATGGATGGATGGCTGGATGTATGGATGGATGGATGATAATGGATGGATGTATGTATCAAATGGGTTGTATATATGTATGTGTAGGTAGGTAGGTATGTATGTAACGTAATGTAACGCAACGTAATGTAACATAATGTTATGTTAAGTTAAGTTATGTTATGTTATTGTATGTATGTGTATGTAATGTATGCATGTATGGTATGGTATGGTATGGTATGTTATGTTATATTATGTATGTATGTAAGTAATGTATGTATGTATTTAATCTAATGTAATAATATGAAGTAATGTAATATGATGTAATGTAATGTAATATGATGTAATGTAATGTAATGTAATGTAATGTAACGTAATGTAATGTAATGTAATGTATGTAATGTAATGTATGTAATGTATTGTAATGTAATGTATGTAATGTAATGTATGTATGTAATGTTATGTTATGTAAAGTTATGTTATATATGTATGTAATGTATGTATGTAATGCATGTAATGTATGTATGTATGTAATGTAATGTAATGTAATGTAATGTAATGCAATGCAATGCAATGCAATGTAATGTAATGTAATGTATGTATGTATGTATGTATGTAATGTATGTAATTATGTATGTATGTAATGTATGTATGTAATGTAATGTCAAGTAGTGTAATGTAATGTAACGTAACGTAACGTAATGTAATGTAATGTAATGTAATGTAACGTATGTATGTATGTATGCATGTATGTATGTATGTATGTATACATGTTTTTTTAATATGGATACGAATGTAACTAAAACAATATATATATATGCACTTTTTTGTATGTTTTTCACATGTGTATATATACATAATTATACATAGATTTATTTATTTGTTTATTTTGTTTATTTATGTGTTTAAAATACATTTATTCATGACTGCAATAGTGGATAAACGATAGGGGTATGTGGACTGATGACTGAAAAACTGTTTTTGCACGAAAATGCGTGCCATCAGTTTGTTGGTTCCTGTGCCACCACCGTTTTTTCCCTATCATGTAGTAATACAGCAAGTTTTGTTTGCGTTTGCATGAGAGGTGGGTTTCTCCACGATGAGTGCTACCGCGCTTATCCCATTGACGTGCTACACACATCCCAACCAGAAACAGAGCCTCTTGAAGTATCCTGATGTGATCTGTGGCACAGACGAACATGGTAAGATGCTTGCCATTGGCATTTGCTTGCTGATTGTGGGTGTCTTTGGTTTCCTGAGTCTTTGTAGCTATGCGGCTTACATGGTTCCAACTTGGAGTGCCCGAGAACAACACAGCCGCGTCCGCGCTTTCCGCTTCTTGGTCTTCCGCTTCAGGTTGGACAGCTGGTGGTTTGGAGTTCCTCTGTTGACCAGAGGACCGCTGATTGCCTTGCCCATCGTGCTTGCTACTGACTACCCAGCGGTGCAGACCGTGTGGTTGACGTTCATCCTGCTGTGCTTTTTGGCATGTCAGGCTTTGGCATGGCCATGGAAGGCTCGGTTGAACAAGGGCAAAGGATGTGCATCATTCTGCACAATTGCTTCGAGATGCCAAAGTGATCACAACGTTTTCTACAGTATCTATGGTCTGAGTGTGAGGACGTAGGTGATACCTGTCTACTGAACGTCCCTGTCGTCAAGGATTCAAGCAGACTGTTGGCCATGCCCTTGCCCTTGCGTAGATTTTGTAAGTATTTGTTGGACTGTACAGTCAAATACGCAAAAACACTTTCGATAAGGCGGGAACTGGAATTTCGGCCTTGCAATTTGCGCCTTTGATTTCCACCAATGTCAGGTGCCGCTGTTAAACGCTTTGGATTGCTGGATGTCCTAGTGCATCATGATTTTGGTGGCAGCTTCGGCTTTGTACTTGGAGCCCATCAACAAAGAAGGCCTGGAATCAAATCTGTGCATTTTTCTGTGTCATATTTGCGGGATTTTGTGGGTGTGACTTGGTATGGCCAGTTGGGCAAATGTGGGATGACCATCTCTGGAAGAAAGTGCTTTCTCTCCTTTGAGATCTTTGATCCTCTGACAGGAAACAACTGTGACGAAATCTATGCAAATCTGTGGCGTGTCAACTTTGTGTTTGAACTGCCCCAAATATAGAGAAGGGAAGCAGCAGAAGCCACCCCCAGCAATCCACAGCAAAGAAACGGGCGGACTCGCGGCTTGGGCGGCTATGGAGGCAAGGAGTTCCCCCCTACTACTAAAACAAACAAACCTGGAAAAAAGTCTGTAACCGGAAGTTTGCTGATTTCGATATCCATTCCCCGGAAATGACCTGAACACATGAACAGCCAAGTCACCAAATGATAGAGTAGTCCAACGCAATCCAAAACCAAGTATTTAAAGGCTCGAACCAAATATTACTCGGAGGAGAGAGAGGGACGAGTTGCCCTATGAGGCCGTGTTTTTCAGCCAAAGTGTTTGTTCGACAAATCCGTTTTTGCAGGCGCAGCCGTGCTTGCTTCATGCAAGACTGCCATTGCACGCGCAGGGCTGTAGTGTTTTGTGATCAAAGGGTTTCCTCCGCGGATCTCCGTGGTGTGACGGTCTGTTTGTCGGCTGTAGGAACTCGCACTGTGCAAGCTGCGTGAAGGGTTGGCATCCTGAAATCGGGCTGCTGAGTTTTGATCGTGGATTGCTGCTTGGAGCTGCCAGTGCTTGGCCTTTTCATTGGTGTTTCACAATCCAGGTTGCAAATTGCTTTTAAGGCTCGGCCTGCGTGCTGAACTGCCAGCAATAGGGAAAAAATCAAGAAAGCAATCAACCCCACACTATCAGAGGATGGGTGTCCAACCAATGAATCAATCGAACAGCTCAAGCCACCACTGAGACAGTCAGGCAACAAAGAACAGCCAACCTGTCAGAGAACAAAGCAATCAATGGTTCAATCAATTCAACCAACCAGCCAATTCTTGAACCAACCAGTCAAACAAGCACCAAAATAAGCTTGAACTGCTTGAATCAATCAACCAATCAACAGATCCCACCCCTATAGCCCCATAGCATTTGTTTTTACATGTTTCCGTGGAAGTTTTCTATTTCTATCCGAACAGTTGCGCTGCCAAACACTGTGGCTCGTAGGAGTTGTGGCAGATTTCGTGGACAATTTCAACACTGGCATCATGGTGCGCACTGGGGCGGAAGGGTTTCAGCACGAAAAGAGGGTGAATCAGGATGGAATCGCCTCAGTGTCATTAGTGAAGTCCCAAAAACGATAACTTTGACCCTAAATCGCATTTTTCAATTCAGGTTTTGCCGATCGCTTATTTGCAATTCATGTAAAAGTTCAAAGTTCAAAGAGTCTGCACATGTTTGTGCTGTGTATCAAATTGGAATTTGTCCACTGTGGGTATTCAAGGGCCAGCAACAGGAAGACGAGGCGGCAACCTCAAACATGCCCAGCGGCGGGGTTATTCTGAGTAGACCTGAAGCGACTACATAGAAGATGAAAAGCGTATCTGACTGACATTGCGCCCAGGACTACAGACCACAACAAGTGGTGACATACAGGTGAGAAATCACCATACCTGTGAGATCCTGTGAGGCATTTGTGTGCTCAAAAGAAATGTCCGCTTTCCCAGTGATGGCAGCGGAGCTGTGAAGCCTGGTTGGGGCAAAGCCATAGGCGTGGTGCAGCACTTGGCATACACTTGGAACTAGTGTTGCAGTTTCTTGGAGGACAAGGACATAGCCTTTGACCTGAACTTGGTGATTGTGGTGCTCTTTTCGTTCCTGCCGTACTTTGGCATTCTGCTTGGATTTTCTAGCTGAACTATGTCGACTCATGGTTCCCCCACTGGAAGTCCTACGGCTGGTGGTATGGCTATGGATGGAGCTGAAGTAGCGCAAAAGTTGATAGCTGCAACAGAGGCAGCTAGTCAGGCTGCAATGGCGGCTGTGCAGATACCGACCCAGGTTCAACAATAACAGCAGCGAGGACAAGTAGCAAGTTCAAGCACCGGAGCGACACATGAGAAGTCATGGTACAGGTTGATACCGAAGCCACAGGTCTTCGAAGCTAGCAGCTAGCAACCGAGAGCAAGAGATCTCCCAATGGAGAGACTGGGCAATACTTGGCGAGCTTAGACCCCCCAGTACGTCATGGAGATTAAGGCCCTGCCAAAAAATCTACGGACTGAGGTGGATGCATCAGTGCAGACAGGCTCTGAGCAGAAACGAAGCGTTTTTCTTTATGGTTTGTTAGCCTCTCTGGTGAAACAACGACCTCTCCTTGTGGTCAAGCAGATGAAGATGTCCAATGGATATGAAGCATATCGTCAGCTCATTCAGTCCTGTGAACCTTTGAACAAAAACCGTGCTATGAGCCTGCTGTCAATCATCATGAATTGGCCAGCTTTCAACTTAAAGGCATCGTTGTTGTCACAGGTGCTACGTTTGGAGACTACATATGCTGAGTGTGAGAAGCTAGGGAACAAACTGGCTGATGACATCAAAGCAGCAGTGTTGTTGCGAAGTGTGACGGGAAATGTGAAACCGTGGTTGCAGTTGCGGGCGAATGACAAAACTACATTTTCTCAACTGCGTGAACTGGTCTTGACCTATGACCAGCAAGTACAAGATGAGAGCATGGTGCTTGGACAAGTTGATGATGATCCGATGAATGTGAGCCGGACTGAAGGAAAATACAAGGGTGAGGACAAAGTAAGGAAAGAGCAAAGACAAGGGCATGGCATGACAAGGAAAAGGCTATGGAAACTCCAAGGGATACAGCCAGTCTTCCGATTCCAAAGGAAAAGGCTGACAGGGGCAAAGGAAAGACAAAGAACTCTGGCAAAGACAAGTTCTGTTGTATATCACAAGTGTCACAAAAAAGGACACTACGCTCGAGATTGTTCGTCAGGCAAAGAAAAAGTGCGTCAGGTGAATGAGAAGGGGGGTGCGAACAACAACACACAGGTGATACACACACCACTCAGAGCGCACAACCCGAAGCTTCCCCAACAAGTCCTCAGAGCGGCAAAAGTGTTCGAATAGTTGCATTTACTTTTGATCTGCAAGATGGTGAACACGGGATTGCAGAGAACCAGAATGTTCGTGCAGTGACATGTGAACAATTGTTCATTGGTGATGATGGTGAGGACGATGTTGTTTTCACTAGTGAACATGTACCTGAATTTCATCCCCTGAAGGACATGGACTGCGATGGTCATGGACAAGTTCGAGGAGACTCTACTTCATCGACTTCGTCTACTTCCTCTACTTCGCCTTCACCCTCAATTTGGCCTTTGGATGACTATGAGGTGGACTTCTACGACAAGCACAATCTTCGACATCTTGGATCTTTGAGATGGACACCAACGAGCGAGGTGCAGACGAAGAAGGAGCAGATTCTTGGCAGAAGACTCTTTGTCAGGACGGGTTGGACAGACGAGGTGAACATCATTCTGGACAGTGGTTCGGATGCAACGGTGTTACCCTATGAGTTTGTGGAGACTGGCGAGGACACCAACAGTTTGTCTCAACTACGGGATGCGCAAGGTCAACAGATTCCTACACAGGGATGTCGCGAGGTGCAAATTTGTCTTCAACTCTTAAGGTGAAGAAGGAGAGCACGTCACTATCAAGGACCGTGGACACATCTCTCAACACGTGTCCCAACTCTGATTTCCTATAGTCGTTTGCTGAAGAAAGGATGGCGCATTGGTATTTAGAATGGGTTCCCGAAGTTGGTTCATGGAACGTCAGGTACAAAGGTTTCCATTGAGATCAAGAACGACAGTTTGGTCATCAAGGGATCTATATGTCGAGTCCAAAATGTTCGACATGTCCCAGCAAGTGTTCCAATCAACTGGAGAAATTTGTGAAGAAGTTGGCACAGCACGTGGTTTTCCTATTTGTTTGAGGCCTTCTCTGGCATTTGTGGACCCGGGCAGTGACTTTTCTTTAGAAGACTGGCCATTCCAAACAAGTTCAAACTTGGGAGATGCTGGAATTTTGTGAAGATATGAGGATGATGGACAAGTTGTCTGTGCGTGTGGATTGCAAGTATCGCCTACTCACAATTTTGACTTTGGATGTGCTTCCACCGGAGCAGATTGGTTTTGCAACTGAAGGAGTTGGAGGACACGATCAAGCTTCCAGTTCATCGGCATCTCCTGCTGCAGCACAACCAGTTCAACAAGTTCAACCTGAACAAGCAGACCAAGGAGTTCAAGCTGAGATGCCGATTGCAGAAGTGGGCGGGGCTGAAAGACTTGAACTACCCCCACACCTTGAACTTCATATTCCAGATGAAGTCTTGGACATTGGTGGAGCAGAAGTCTATCCAAGCAGTTAAGCAAAAGTTTTGAGAGAGGCATGCGCATATTTCGAACTTTCACAAGGTGGTTCCAAATCAAAGATGTGGAATCATTGTTAGCGCACATGGGGACAAGATGAGCCTGAAAGCTTCACAAGACTCCGAAAGAGATCCAGTTGAGCAGAAGGTGGACAAGCCCCCCGATGATCCAGAAAAAAAATCAGAAGCACAACCTGAACCATTTGCCTTACGCAAACTGGTGCCCGAGTTGCGTCAAAGGAAAGGGGCGACCGAATTCCCACAAAGAGAATGCAGAGAAGCACACCAAGAGATCATTGCCACGCATATCGTTTGATTTGTTCTACACCAGCAAGAAGGTGAAGGAGCCGATGGTAGAAGTTGGTGAGAAGGAGGAGATCAGTAAATTAGTTTTTTTGGCACTTGTTGACTCGTTGACAGAAGCAGTCAGTGCAGTTCCGCTCTTGAACAAAGGAGACCCAAAGATGATGGCGAAGGAGATAGTGAGGTTCGTCCAATGGTTGGCTTACTCAAGTTTGTCCCTTCGTTTTGATCAAGAACCCACAACACATCGAGCTCAGCAACTTTGTCAACAATCTTTGAGCAG